AATAAATCTTTTAACTATTTTATACTCAACCCCTTGAACCAATTAATTCCAAAATAGTTTCTAATTAATTTATTAAACAAAAAATTAATAAACTAATTTTCTCCTTGACTCTATTTTTTTAATTTCTCATTTTTGTCATTTAGGCAACCCAAAATGATCATGTTATTATTTAGAAATATTATAATTTAGTTGATGACCTTGGACATTATTTTCAACAACTAAAACCTATTCTACCCCAGTGTCTGGTCTTTGTTGAAAAAAACTCATAGAGCGCCTCTAAAGTATTACTAATGTGTACAAATATTTCTCTACTTATAAGAAAAAGTCCAACGAATGTTATATCATCATAAATATCGTTATCAACAAAGTAATCGCGTACCAAACATCCAGGTGCAGCTTGTCACTCTCGGTTGACAATGGTTCTTATATGTCTAACATATGTGGACTCCTCACAACAACATTTTGAACAACTTTATAGAATGTTGTGATAAACTCCACGTCATCCAAATTTTAATTTTCAAAATCCATATTTATGGTGTTAAAAATAATAAAAGATGTTGATAATAGTGTGTGAAATTAGAGTGATATATATATATATATATATATATATATATATATGTGTGTGTGTGTGTGTGTGTGTATGTGTGTATGTATGTATGTATGTATAATTGTAAACGAATATAAAAGGTTAATTTAATATGAGTAAGAATTAAACTCGTGACTCATGGGTTTGGTCAATATGAAAAAAATTATCTTCCATACCATCTACTTGCTTTATGAAAAAATTTATCTTCCATACCATCTACTTGCTTCATTAATACTTAATAGGGATGGAACTGGGAGGAGTATTAGTAATTCCAATTCTATATCCTATTATAATATTATATCAAACCCAGTCACTTCCCATCGAGTACCCGATTAGTAAATACTCATCGAGTTTGCGGGTATCCTTTTGGGTATCGGTTATCCCATTTATGATAGCAGTTGCTTCCAAAATAACTTGATTTTTTTAAATAATTTTGATTTCTAATGTAACATCCCAAAAACCATGATAAAATTTTCATTTTTATAAAGCATTTTCATGAAACCAAAAGATAGTCAAGTGTTGTTTTCATGTCAAATCCATGAAATCAGAGTAACAAATGGTCTCTCAAAATGTAAATCAGCAGGAGGATGTGTATGATCACGCCTTTGCCTTTCCCCAATCATCCGATGTACCTAAAAACATGGATACCAACAACTGTAAGCCAAATCTTAGTGAGTCCCCCCAAAATACCCCACACAACAGTACACATACAATGCATGCACACAAGTCCTATAGAATAGGGCCGGACCGTCACATGAGCCTTCAAAATTCAGTTGGACCGCTCCCGAGCCTTCATCATTACCTGGGACGCTCCCTTTGGGCCTACAGTATCAACTGGACCGTCATGGGTATCTTGGCCTTCATCACAAAGTATGACCACCTCAACCCAACCATATTATGTCGACATATGAAAACAATAATCAATAACCAAATAGTACATGTAATCAGTACAACATAGAAACATCCTATACATAAAGATACATAACACAATCTAGTGGGCCGATATTGAGGCCTTCAACCAATAAGTACAGTGAGAAAACTCACCTTGCAGAACCGGATAAATACAACAGCGCTTTAACTCCTTTCACTGACCAATCCCTCGAACCGCATAAAAACCAAAACAGATAAATCCTCAATTAACACCCAACTTCCTCCAAGTTCGACCCAAGGTCAAACTGTTCAAAAGTCAACGGTCAAAGGTCCACAAATTCAACGGTCAACTTAGTCAAAGTCAACTTCACGTCGTGACCATTCTTTGGTCATGTCGTGGGGATGCAAAGACAATAAAAGCATGATTCCGGGCACTGTCACATCGTGACTTCTGCTCAGAAGGCAAAAATCTTCATGAAGTGCTTAATCTCTTCAGACAAAGGCCCATAACCTCAGATGTAGTTCCTAAATAGATTCGTAATTGATAAAGTTTCCAACTTTATCCATTAGGATGGTCAAAGCAACAATGATCTAGTCTTTAAGTATCAAAGGTACCAAGAATGCATCTTTCTCAACTTAATCCATTAAGTCCAAGTCTCCAACCTTTAGAATTGAATCAACATGATGTTTAGATGGATAAAGTTTCCAACTTTATCCATAATAATGTCCCACTTTCAAGATCTAAACTTTAATACACCAAAATGACCTAAAGGACAATGAAAACTTGCATGGCTAAAAGGGGTGGAAAAAGATCATAACTTTACTAGTCCATGAGGTCCAAGAAGCATTCCAAACTGATCAAAAGATGTTGGAGTTCACTCAACTCCAAGATCACCCATAAAATGGACCAAAAGTGCCAAAAACCACAAATAAAGAGATCTAAAGAACTAAAAAGAAAGATATGAACTTGATACTCACAATAGTCCATAAATGGAGTGACTTTGATGGATCCAAACTTGAAATAACATTCCTTGCAACCAAAAGAATCTTCTTGATCTTCAAGCTTCATCAATATATCACAAAAAACATTCAACTCCATTTTCGGCGATCTTTATATACACGGAAAGATATTGACGAGATCCATAACTCTATATAAGGCAGGTGGGTGATGGATAAAAAACTTTATTTTGGAAAGATGTATCGCTAAGTGATCATTCCTTTATGTGTAGATTCTCTCGTTTATTTCTTTTGGAAAATGATAGAGATTGGTTGGTTGAATATTGTTGGAACGAAAATGGGTGGGTTGGAATTGACGAAGTCATATTAGTAGAGGGGCTGAACTAAATCAGATGGAGAATTTGAATGCTTTACTTAGTTTGATTAATATTTCTGATCGAGCGGATAGTTGGAGATGGAATCTGGGACATAATACCTTTTATACGGTCAGTGATACTAGAAAATATATTGTGTTGAATTTTAGACTTGATATTAAATAATCCAATAATTAGTATTATGAACTAATCACGAATTATTTAGAATAGACAAACAAACAAATGGACAGATAATATTTATGATTAAATATCCAAACGTTTTCACAAACAACCAATGATTAATATAGATGATTAAACGTTGATATGTTGCAAAATTAATAAATCCAATTATTATTATTATTGTTACCAAGTTTCGTCTAGAAATTAGAATGATCCTTCTTGATCGGATTTGATTGTAAGAAAGGAATTGAAGCAGGCCATCCTGTTATTGGACGAATATAAATGCGAAACAATGATGTAAAACTCACCTGTTTGTAGTTGATCTCGGTTTGTAGAAACCTGCACAAATCTGACTAATGTTCTTAAAGGTTTTTTACTTCGCTTCTGTTGGTTGTAAGCAACAAAGTAAAACCCCAGGATTTAATGCAGACTTATCGATTTTCCAACAGCAATGGAAAACGACAAAACACAAAGTAGAAGAAATCGTCGAGAGAGAGAGAGAGAGAGAGGTGAATTTCGTGTGTGAAATACGGGTCCTAGGGGAGTTGTATTTATAGGTTTCGAAACCCTAGAACCCGGTTCGGTCCAACTCGACCGATCCCGTAACTGCTAAAAATAAAAGCTTCTCAGCTCCCAACGACTGATGCGTCATGCGAAGTTCGCTTAAAGCGCACACTCATGACATCGACTCAGCTAGGCGTGCATGTGTGGTCTTAGCCCACCGCTCGATCCACTTAAAGACTTTGAAGGTCTATTAAGAGAAAAACATTATAAACCCACTAAATGTTTCTCCCCCCACCAATGTGGGATAATGGAAACTAGTCAATTTGCTTATTCCATTAAAAGTTCCAACATATTGACGATTACAATCTTCCTCATTATGTTTTTGAAACTCGATGGAATAGGAGTGTTATGCGATTTGGCAGATTACCAAACTGCGCTAATTTGGTGTATAGGGGGGATTGACTTGGAGTTGGACCTTTGCCCAACTTCTACTTTGGTTACGGAGATTAGCAACCGCACTTTCATTACGAGTGATATAACGATAGCTTTATAGTCTAAAATTGGGATACGGTGCGATCAGATTATCCCGAATTTTGTCTCGGTGGACTACATTTTTCTTTGGATTGATTCATGTCATATGACAACAAGGAGAAGGTCGGTTTTGGAAGCTGCTATATTGACTCTTCTGTGAGAGATTTGAACGTATTGGAAGAATATTATTTTTGGTGAAAAGAAGATAGAAAAGATAGTTTAATTGACTTGGATGAAGAACTTGTCATTTGATTGGTTTGTGAATTGGTACATCATTGTAAAAATTGATTAGATTTCTTGGCTAAATAACTCAATTTTTACGGCCCCACTGTAAATGTTTGAGCTATTAAAAAAAGTGGTATCATTTCATTTCAATCATGCAATGTGACTCAAACATTATGACGACATAAAATCTACTCTAATAAATGAATATTCATTTTACCACATGTCAATCTCTCATAAGTTTTGACACTTGTCATTTTGTGGTATTTTTGAAATAAATAATATCCACATATAAATTTCTAGGTTTTTTAATTTTTAAAATTAAAAAGTCATATAATATATATAGTTATATAAGTAAAGTATTATATATATATATAAATATTATCATAAATCGCAATAAATATGTTTTTTCCTTTCTTATTTTTAAATTTAATTTTAAAAAAATACTTAATGTTACATTTTGATATTTAATTTTTTTTATTTAACTCATGTAATACATGGATCTCACACCTAATAGACAATATGAAAAGATTAGATGTTCCAAGTTAACCAAATGACTTAACTGATAATTTTACAAGTCATGTATCTAAAACCAACCACAAAATACCAAACTACCAGAAAGATAATAATTAAGATTCAAACTTAATCTATTTACATATTTACATTATACATTATTGAAAGTACAACCAAAATTTCTTATTTAATACATCTCCTAGACAACTTAAACAAAATCCCAATAACGCATACCGTTCTTTTATACAACAAAAAAAAAAAAAAAAAAAAAAAAAAAAAAAAAAAACTTCTATGCTTTTTAGGCGTTTGTGCCTTAACTTTTGCATCAAGATAATGCATATAGACACCACCCAAAAATTATGAAAACCCCGAACAATATACAACTTTTACCCCTTGACCTTATAGGTCAAGATAGTATTTCGGCTTTCGATCCAAAACTTGTTGCTTGAAAAAGTATTCTTGATGTGCAATCATTTCAACAGATCACACACGCATTTGGATTCTCCTCTATACTGTGGTGATGTGGTTGATAAGGTGGTTGGTAATGTGGTTGGTAATTTGGTTGGTAGTTATTATAGTAGGCGTTCATTGGAGGGTAATATGGTCTATATTGTGGTGGCATACGCATCGGGATCATTTGTTGTGGTGGTGCGCTTTTCTTCTCTTCCTCCTTACCACCTTCTTTCTTTTTCGGTTCTTCCTTTTTCGGTTCTTCTTTTTTCCCTTCTTCCTTCTTCTCTTCTTCTTTCTTCGGTTCTTCTTTCTTGTCATCCTTCTTTGCTTCATCTTTCTTACCTTCTTCCTTCTTTGGTTCTTCTTTCTTCTCTGGTTCTTTAGCGGGACCCACTGATATTATATCTGTCGACCAAAACTTTCTAAGTTTGCTCACAACACTGATTGGATCAACAGTTCCGACAACTATCAATGTTCTATCCTTCATGTTCATCGTGATTGAATCAATCCCTACAAAAGGCATAACCGGTTTTATTAAATATATTTTCTAATTTTTTTTCTGCAAAAAAAGAAATGATTCTTTTAATAACTTCTGAGATGAATCGCGTCCACTTTGTTAGTAATATTTTGTAAGATGTATGTGACTATCATAAGAGCACCAAAACATTTTTGATAGATATAAATATATTTGATTTATATGTCAAAAATAAGAAGTTATTTGATTTATAAATATATTTGATTTATATGTCAAAAATGTTTTTGGGCTCTTATGATAGTCACATACATTTTAATTTAAAATTAATGAAAACAAAATAACAACATTTACTGAAATAAATTTGTCAATTATTCTCAAATACAAAAGTTTTTCAATAAAGTCATGCTACATGTTCGTAATTGGCCCCTACAAGACTACCATCCAGCTCCACCTAGTTCTATCATTTTCAATGATAAATAGTATATTTCCAACTTTGTTTTATGTTTTTATTATAAGATTTATTATTAAATCACAGTCAATGAACTATAATATACTTTTCATTATAATTGTTTTTGTTTTTATTTTCTTGAAATATAGTATACTTTGAAAATAATACCTACGGGATACCATATTGTCCATCTGTTCTTTGTCTTTTTATTTCATTTTGGTTGCTTTTTATTATTCTTTTAAAACATAATCTACTTTTAAAACAGACACGATCTTTTTAAATCTCAAATGTTAAAGCAACCACAACCACTCCTTCGTGTGATGCGTACTTAATGCATGCACAAAGTCGTTTTTATCGCTTTATGCGATCATTTATGAGTGTAGACTTCGAACGATATTGCCTTTTCAGTTTTTGAAAATATATATATATATATATATATATATATATATATATATGGGACCCGTAAAATTTCGTAGTCCTTGTGAATAAAATTTCACATCAAGAAAAATAATAAGGTAAATTATGAATCAAATGACAAATATACCCTTTGGAATCCCCACCTCACCTCTCACCCAACAAACTCCACCGACCCACTAAGCAAGGGGCCGAAAGGGAATGCCATATAGGACAAATGAGCCACATCATTCTTGTTGGAAACAAATGGTGAAATAAATGTATCTGTTTTTATTATAAAACTCTTATAAATTAAAAATTAATATTTTTTAATCTTTTGATATTAAGTTTACTTTTATCTTTTTTTTTTTTTTTGAACAGCGGTTTACTTTTATCTTAATAGTAATAATTGTAAAATATAGGAACCATTGATATTCATAATGAACTTTTTTCATTATCTTATTTAGATTAATTTATATTTTATTTATTTAACCAATAAGTGAATATATTTTATGAATCACATGTTAAATCAAATGTTATAATAATCTAATAAACCAATAAACAATAACATTTAGTTTGACAGATAGCTCAATGAAATACATTGTTGATAATCAAATATTGAACACATGGTATAATAGAACAAAAGGTTTAAACCTTATGAAAAACAATTCATCATTTCATCTCATTAATATTAATATCATCTAATAGCTGTTAATTGGTAAATTAAAAAAATTAAAAAGAAATTTTAGGAAACATTTACATGTGTTGATCGTCTAAATCAAACTGTTTGTGCTTATTGAAGTAGCAAAAAATATAACTTTCCTTTTTTGCTTATTCCGAAAATTCATGTGTCAATAGTAGGTGTGTACAATTGGTACTGCATAAGGTACAAGTGTCTGTTGTTGGGAATGTGACATACGATCAAGAAATGACAAGTCCATGTGGAGTAAAGAAAAAGAAACTCAAGGAAGCCATGAATTCATCATAAAGCGAATCAACTTGTCCTGTTGAAGAACATGTTGTTTTTGACTTTCAAGAGTCAAATTTGACTAGCTTTTAAATCCAAATTTATCAAAACAATCAAGCTGCTTTTAGTGGAATAATCGAAATCTATTTTGATTTTGTGTATGAATTTTGATTAAAAATAGCTAAAAAAACTAAAACAAGCAATATAAAATTTGAATTTGAAAGATACCAAATTTGAATAATAATAATAATAGAAAATAAAGTCGAAGATGATTATGGTTATGGTTACCTGAGAGAGTGGATACACTCTTTAGAGCTTTTCTTTTCTCTTTATCATCATGCAAATCCAATTTCAATATGAACTTCTGAAATTCGAAATCAGAAAATACGAAACTATAAGATTGAATCACTTCAAATTTACTCCAAGATTTTCAGAGTTTAAAAGTGTTTCAGAAATCAAGAAAATGCTCATGAAAACAGATTTGGGATTCAAAAACCCATCAAGAACAGATTCAAAGTTTTCTGCAACAGATTCCGGGTTCCTCTTTTAGAACAAGAAATCATAATCCCATCAAGAATCTGAGCTTAAAATAACAAAAACAGATTAATAAATTGGAAAACAGAATAAACAGAAAGTTGTTTTCGAAGCTGTCTGAAAGCAGATTCTGGATTCCAATTTAAAACTAGATATCAAAAACACGTCAAGAATCTGACCTTGAGAACAAAAAGAAGGATCATTGAACTCTATAAAGAATCATGGAAACAGAAAGTAAAACGAATATATTAAACAAAAATAAAGAATCAAATGAATCGTACCTTCATGTAGTTGTTTTGAATTGGGTCCCTAAAGATGAGAGAATTGGGGATCAGAAAAAAGAACAAAAAAAAAAGTTGAGAGAAAGAGAGAGAGGGGAGTGGAAATGAATAAGATTAATGGTTTTTTGAAAAGGGAAGAAGATTTATGGACAGAGAATGAAAAATTAGAATCAAAACAAGAATTTGCAGACTAGGAGAGAGATTACAAAACCAATTTAGAAAAGGTTAAATACAAATTTGGATAATCATTTATAGTTTCTTTCTTCATTTTAGTTTTTAAGCATATTGTCCACAAATTTTTTTGTTTAATTTTTATCCTCTATACAATAATACATATTATATACATATTTTTGTTCGGTTGACAAAATATATAACTGTATTATTTTTAATACGATTTTATTAAAATATTGTTTCTTTTATTATGTATATTTATTTATTTTACAATTTCCTTTATATATTTGTTCTGTTGTAGACTGTCCGCCGCCTCACCATCTCCGGCCTCCACCACGCCCTATCTTCAAACCTTTCATGTTCGTCCATCACCCAAAATTAGTATTTTTAATGTAAACAAATTCCCACTTGGACAAAATGAGGCACTTTCAAAGGTGATCGATCAGTTTGAAATTGAGACCATAGATCAATTACATAGAAAAATACATAAAAATAAGTGTCAACGGGTTCAGTTGAAGCTATTAAGTTGAAATTGAAACCATTAAAGACTTGGCAAACAAAAGTGATCAAGCGAGTAACGATGCTAGGCTACTCACTTGAAAATTTGAGGCAATGTCAATTTCATTAACATGTAACAGCATATGAAGATTGCCTAAAGTGTCTTGCGAGGGATGCAAATATTCAAAGATTGGGATTTGTTTCTCTAAATGTTGGAGTGTGGCTCCTCGGTAGAAGCGGAAAGATTAAGGGTCTGTTTGTTTGCATCTTAATATCTGGGTAGGTCTGAATCTTTAAGATTCAGACCGTTTGTTTACCTCTTAAGTTTTGGTCTAAATCTGAATTTTAACACTTACCGAATCAGATTTGAAACTCCATCTGAAAAAATAAAAGACGCGCTATGCCCTTAACCCCAAAACACGTTCTCTCTTTCTCGCCCCCTTCTCCTCCTTCTCACCCGCTTCTTTTCCCTCACCGATCTCCAATAATCGTCCACTTCCTCCGATCTACAACACCGCCTCCGACATCAACGTCGTCTCCGACATCGTCGCCGGCAGCCAAGCCCTTCGGCTCCCTCATCGACGTCGGTTCTCTTCCACCACTTTCTCCTCCTCCTCTGATTTTGTCTGCATCCATTCGGTCGGCAACGTCGTCACCGACTTCGCATCCGCCTCCGGTTGCTTCACCTGTGCCGCCTTCACCTCCGGTATCTTCTGCAGGTAACATTTTCTTTTTCTCTTGTTATGTAATTCGAGTTTAATGCTTAAAAATCTAGTGTGTTTCCCCTGTAATTCGAATATCAGATAATCATGACTTTGAGGTTAGTTTTGGTTCAGTTTTGATTTATGATAATGTGTTGATTTCTGATTTTGTGTTTATTTTGTGAAATATATTGCTGAGAATGTGTTACTAGTTTCTGATTTGTTCTTTTTTTTATTGATAATGTGTTCCTAGTTGTTAATATAAGTTGCTGATTTTCTTCATTTGGTGAAATCTGTTGCGGATCTTGTTGTTATGTGTTGAAATGTTGTTGACATATGTTGATCTTTGAAACTTGATAATGTTGTTGATGAAATCATATGCTTTGCTTTTTTTTTCCTGAAATATGATAATATTTTGCTGATGAAATCATATGCTTTTTTGTTTTGCTTGATGAAATATGAATATTAGCATGTTATGGATTCACTAAATGAAAGTACAATGTTATATATTGAACAAGTGGTGTCTATTAGTGGAGGATATTTCGAATCTTGTTGTTATGTGTTGAAATGTTGTTGACATATGTTGATCTTTGAAACTTGGTAATGTTGTTGATGAAATCATATGCTTTGCTTTTTTCCTGAAATATGATAATATTTTGCTGATGAAATCATATGCTTTTTTGTTTTGCTTGATGAAATATGAATATTAGCATGTTATGGATTCACTAAATGAAAGTACAATGTTATATATTGAACAAGTGGTGTCTATTAGTGGAGGATATTTCATACCCACAAGCTTAAGGAGTTCATTAACATTAGATTTGTTATGGATGGAGATGGTTCTAAAAGATTTCACAAAGCAATGAAAGCATGAGTTTTGGGTATAATCAAGAAATGATAGTGTTATGTTTGATTTGGATTTATGTTCTGGATTTTATATGGTGTTTGTAAATTTTTATAATTATTCAAGAAGTTGATTCGGTTATTTTATAAAAAACGTTAAATTTAGCAAAAATAACATAGAATGGTAAAATGGTCATTTTTATAATTCAACACTGCAATTCAGAGGTTCCAACCAAACAACATTTGAAAATTCAGATCTTAAAAATTCAGATCCTCTTAGAAATTCAGATCTCTTAAAAATTCAGCTCTTATAAATTCAGATTCTGTCAAACAGCCCCTAAGTGTTTAATCGGATACAGTATTAATAGTAAATCAAGTATGTTTTCTTAGGCTAAACGGTATGGAGCACTAAACCTCATGTGACGTCCGACGTGGCTAGCCAAAAGACGCGCGAACACCGCCCATGAGCTCTGTGGGTTGGTTGTGACGTGGTGGCTGAGACGGAGGAAGACACCCAATCGCTGCTTTTTCTCACAAACAGTTACATATTTGAACGTTTCTTTTGTATACGTTGGAAACAAAAAAAATTATTTAATTTTCAAATTAAAAAACATATCCTACAACTAAAAATTCAACAAGTCGGCTAAAAATATGGAAATCATGCTCTAAAGTTTTTAGTATTTATGTTTTATTTTCTATGTTTTTTTAGTAATTTAGTTTTTTTTAACAGCTGCATTTTCATATATTAAATATTCTAGTAAGTTACTAGAATATTGAAAAAATAGTAATTAGAATGGATTTAAAAGCCAAACATTCCAAACTACAATGGAGTTGGAAGCTCGATTATTCAACCAAGAAAAAAAATTGATCACTATACTATCAAAAATGGAATTTTTCTTTGACCTGCAAATCACCAAAAGTAAAGAGTTACGAAGACGCCTAATAAACCAAAATGATATTAAAATAATCACTTCCAGATGTCGTTTTTTGGCAGCAGGGAGTTGACAATCATCAACCCATAAAAGTCATTCATTTATCGAGGGTACCACAGGAAGCACCAAACCGCACCACTTTGCAATAAGCTTCCAAACATCAACCGCTACGTGACATGAAAAAAACAAGTGTTGAACAATTTCCACCCCACAAGAGCATACTGGGCACAGGATGGACGAGAGTTCCAATCCTTTCTTAGAAAGATAAAATTGTGTGGGTAATATATTTAAAGAAAATCTCCATATAAATATGTTAATTCGCCTTGGTATCACCTTACACCATCTGGTTGGAGTACTACCCCCTGTTGAGATATTCTCAATGTTTTTCCTAGTAACCTGAACCGGGAAATCACTCGCCGAGTCAAAAGACCACTAAAGTTGATATGGTAAATTAGAAGTAGCAACACCAAGCAAAAGTGATTCCAAAGAGCTCATTTTCTCTTGCTCTCGACCACCTCTAACGGGCATGCGCCAAGTCCACAACCACTGCCTGTTCAAACAACAGATCACTTACTAAGCGCTCAGGATTAAACTCAAGCCTACAAAGTCTATCAAAACGAGACTTTAGAGATTGTTGGTTAATCCAAGTTTCATGCCAAAAACGAATGGAGTTACCGTTGCCTAATATTTTTTCCAGTGTATCTAACGGGACTAGATTAGAAGCATGCATATGGCGAATGGTTAACACGATTTTTGACCAATATCCACCCTGTAATTTTCTGTTAGAGGCAATAGCACCATCGGGGCCATAAATTGTCTTCACAAGCCTCACCCAACAAGCATTGTTATCTAATACAAACCTCCAACGCCATTTTTGAAGTAATGCATTATTGAAGGCCTTAAGACTACCAATACCATGACCCCCTTTTTCAAAAGGAGCAACAACATGGTTCCACTTAACCAACAACATGGTTCCACTTAACCCATGCAAGTTTTCGACTTTCAATGTCTCCACCCCAAAAGAAATTGCTCTGTAACGATTCCAATGTATTTATCACCCCTATTGATACCTTAAAAATAGACATACAGTTGATGCCAATACTGCCTAGAACCGATTTAGTGAGATTAGCTATTTCACCCATAGAAAGAGATTTAGCTTTCCAAGTAGAAAGTTGAGATTTATATTTTTGAATAATAACATCCCAACTCCCTTTTCTTCCCATATTTGATCCAATTGGAAGTCCAGGATAAGTGAAAGTTAGTTTACCTGCAATACAACCATAACGAGTTGCCAAATATTGGACAACAGTTCAATCTACACCAAACACCATATAAATGAGACTTTTGCATGTTTAGTTTAAACCGGATAGACGATACAACTCATCAAGAAGCCTAGAAATATTGTCTACCTCATTAGAGCCCTAATCTGAAATAAAGACAACATCATCTACATATAGTAGGTAAGATAGTCGAAATTTTGTCTTCCTACCTTCACACCCCTAATAAAGTTATTTTCCATGGCATCTTGTATCATAACATACAGACCCTCCATTGCTAATATGAACAAAAAATAGGATAATGGGTCACCTTGTCTAAGTCCTCTATATAGTGAAAACTCCGATGTAGGACTTCCGTTCACAAGTATGGAGGCTCTGGCAGACGAGAGACATGTTTGGATCTAATTTTGCCATTTTCACCAAACTAATAGCTCTCATAACTGTTGGGTTTTGAGCATTCTAACACTCCTATGGTGTACATGCAACCCTAAATACCTTGGATCTATGTTTTCTCTATTATACATGCAAATATCAATTTTCCAAGGTATTGTTCTAACTAGCATAATATAAAGTACACATATTATAAATTCTAGTAGAATTACATACCTCTTGTTTGGTGCTTGATTCCACGGAGCTCAAGAGCCTAGTGCCCCAAGTGTGGCACCTCAAATGGTTCACACAACATCATGAACACTTGGAATAACTTGAGAGAAAGTAGAACACTTCTAAAATCGGTTTGCCTTCTATGTAATACACTAGTCCGATTTTTGCACAAAATAAGATGCTTATATAGTTGTTACAATTAGGGTAAACCCTAATTGTCATGGCTTTCCATTTCCTTGGATCCATGGGTTCAAATACACCATGGAGCATCCTATGGGTTTTAGCCCAACTTGATAATCCATGGAGCATTAGCCCATTATATAAGTATGGATGATTTACACAATCAACCCATATATTTAATTAGTCTTCTTTTGATCACTTAATTAATTCTAGATTAATTCTTGATCAATACTAATTAAATAATCTTATTAATATATTAGAACTTATAATATATAAATAAACCTTAAGTGTTATTTCTCTCATTTTAGTCTATCCAAATGCATGATGTCATGCAACCCAAATGGACCATGCCGGGTCGGGTCAAGTATATACCAATTATAGTTATGGACTTAGACACTAATCCAACAGTCTCCCACTTGGATAAGTCTAATAACTATTATTGCAAGTACGCCTTCACAACCCGACCAGCAATCGTAGCTCTTAAAAGTTGTTGCCGAACTCTGAACAAATCAATGACGCGTCCATTAGATAAGTGATCATATATTCCTCCATTCTAGATATCATATGGACTGAGACATGGATTATAATCATTCTCTCTGTCCATTTGTTGTTTCCCGATTTCCGATTTATGACGACTAACTAATTGAACAAATCAAATCAGTCCAGGCCCGGCCGAGCACTTACGTTTTGTCATCACTAAATCATCGAGGGCCCACAGATATCGCTTTTATCCCTTTGAGGGTAAAAGGAATGGATAAACTTCGACTCATATGCTTGTACTGACTACTTGTTGAATCATACACAAAGGCACGTTTTATAATATCGAGTTAACAATGCGTTTTCGTGCAATCAATGTATAACCAACTCATAGTCAACAACTCATATCTCTAGGTTTGAAGAATATAAGATATTATCGTCTCATGATCACTCATGATAAAATCCATGAAGTGATTCAAATGAGCGTGGGTTGAATCCAATACTCAGAACTTATGAGCACTCATGAATGTTGTAGCAACCACTGCTATGTCTAATGCACATTAGACAAATCATACAAGCCAAATTCATGACAGTCTTGATTCATATCTACTTCCAACGTATGACCGACTGTGGATGGTTTGAATAACTTAGTCAGTCGGGAAGAATGACCTAGTTATTCTGGAATTCAAAACATGCAAAGTGAAACACAAAAA